AAGTGAAAGATTTTACCTGTGGAATAAGCCCCAGCATTTGCCTTAGTAATCTAAGAAAACCACAAGGTAACATGGACCGTAGCAGACGAACCGGAATCGAACGTGTATCTTAAGGATCCGAAACCATGACGGTTGGTAGTTCATGTCTTCATTCTAGGAGTGTTTTCATTAAATATCACCTCTCCTTGCCAGATTTTAATTTTTGGTTGACGGATTTTTAGCGAGATAGTTAAATTGAAACCGTTATAAACACTAAAAGTCTGCAATACTAATCAAAACCTGATATACCAACAAGCGACAGAAATCCAAAACAGTTCGGTCATACTAATGTATTCTTATTCAAAAGAAAAAGTAAACACAAGAACTATATCGAAATAACAAATAATTTACTATAGTAATCAATAAGTAATATAAATTAGGACGAACGACCTATCCCAATACAACCTTAATTACCAAATTTCATTTGGTAGATCTTTTTATATAAAATTATTATGGGTGGTGTTGATTTTTTCTTTTTTCTCTGGTAGAATTACCCGGCGTTATTATCTGATACCCGGCCGGATTCTAAAAAAATGGCGGATCCGCGGAGCACCGGATGTACCGGATCTATCCCGCTCAGTAGTCAGCAATTACATCGATGATCCGAATTATCGAAGTAGGCATGAAATTCATTCAATTTTTGAACATCCAAATTATTAAGTTAATATTGCTTCACGTTTTGAACATTACTTCTTACCTACGTTTGATTTTGTTTTGTTTGAATACACTTTAATTTTAAAGTTTTGATATACTTTTCTCACAACCAGAAGGTTAAACTCTAATAAAATCAAATATTGTTGTTAAAAAAGAAATGCCCTTTTGCACTCTCCTCAATAATTCAAACATACCGTCGGTGGTAAAGTGGAAGATGTAAATATTTTTAAAAGTAGAAAAATATTAGAACCTTCCGGTTTATATTTAATGAAACACTTATGCGTTATTTTAACCAACAAATCAAAACAACACCTTAAGAATCTGCTCTTGGTACCAGCAGCTTCAGCATCTCTCTTCAATGCTGCCAGTGCCCTTAGCCTGTCTTGTAACTGTTTCAGTTTGGCGTTCACGTAATCTTTAAGTGGACGAAGGTCTGCTTTGTCCAACTTATTTGCAATTTCATTCTGTATTTCGTCTAGGGTTTGCTGCCATAACGCTTCCTATTTACCATATTTAATATTTATAAATTATGACTTTATAACAAAAACTAATCTGAATTGGAGTAAGACTTATTTAAAAAACGAAACAGTCAAACAGTGAATTTGAATTCCTTCTAATACGAATTACGAACCTGTTGCGTGAGTTTAGCTAACGTTTCGTCTATATTCCTAGTGAGTTCATCATAAGCCTGTTCAAATTGATCATAATTCACTTTCTTGTTCACAGCACAGACATCCGCTTTCTCTGCTAAAGCATCCTCCATGTCTTCTCTGTTGGCTTTAATATTTCTCAAAAATTCTATTTGTTCCACTAAAGTCTATTATGACAGGATTAATTGAAAAAAAATGTTCATAAAGATAAGAATATGCAGTCAAACGTCCCTAATTCGAATCTCTTAAAAGCAACCAACAAATTAAATGACTAGATACTCCGATAGTGTTGCTTTTTTCTAAACTGCTTTTTTTTAATGTCTTTCATAATTGAGCACCTCAGTGAAAAATATTGTTAATAGATTTGCTTAGAATAGGAGGAATTGGATTTTCGTTGCGAACGATTTTTCCGAAAAAAAAAATTAATAGAGATTTGAATTATGAAGACAATTTTTATAATTTAAAACTCGCACTTCAATTTTGAGTTAGTGAAAAGTTCGAGTTAGANACTTCTGCTAATTTTTCGTTTCCTATCTTTATATTCACTTTTTCCTTACTTTTTTTTTTTCTTGCATATCAGTATTTTAGTTTTACTTTTATTTATTTTTATACAATACTGTTTTGTCAATACCGCTTCCATTTTATTTAAAGCTATCTCTAACTCCTCCCTGCTATAAAAATCTAAGCATTCTAATATTTTGTCCCTGTATATCTATCCCTAGAGTTGTACTGTTTTTAATGATATTGATCGCGTCTTCGATGTATAGATTAAAAAGTGTGCATCCCTGCCTGACTCCCTTCCTAATATTTACTTCTCTACGTTGCAGCTCCAGCTCTATAACTACCTGTTGCTTTTTATAAAAACTAAGTATTCATCTCAACTTTCAAATTTTCGAATTTTTCTACTTGCCTCATTGTCCTAACATTCCACGCTCGTGAAATATTCTTCCTTCATTTCCTTATTGCACTTATTGATGACATCCCTGATGTAGTATCCGAATGGGGGACTAGTTTACATCCGAATTACTTTACCCCAGAGGAGGCCATCATTTGAGTTCGGTTTGTTTTTCTTGGGATATCATAATGTGGTGGTTTCTCGTTGCCTTCAACATCGCAGTATTGTGCATCAGAGTGCCATATCGATCCTCGTGTTCTCTGCCACCCTGGGTATTGAAAGAGCTGCTGCCCTCTTTCAGGGACTTGTCTTAGTCTGGTTTGTCTTTAAGAATCCCCCCATTCCTAAATCATCGAAACTCGCAAGCCGATCCACCCACTTCAGTTTGTGCAAGAGCTTCGTCATGGTTGAAGTCACGTTATATCATTATTTGTTGTTATAAACACTTACCCGTTTTATTTTGGCTCAGGCCTTCTACGGATTCAATTTTTTTCATTCATTCAATTTTAATTAAAATATAACAACTAGTGAAAACAGTAAGGAAATACAAAATAACTATTTATTTTTACAAATATAAAAGTAAAAGCACCGAAATCAATCAGTTAAAATAAAAAAAGCAAGTTTTTACTTTTGCTTTGTAAAAATTTGTTTAGTCATTTGAAAATTATGAGTGAATATATTTACGCACAATGGAGTTTAAATTAATTTTAAGGTTAATGCAGCAAGGAAAAAAGCAAAACAAATCACGAAAATTTCCTAAAACAATGTGTTTAAAACGAGTATGAATCAATATTCTCTCGTTTGAGTTACAAGGGTGTGATGCTGTCACGCTTGTTCTTGGGTGGCTTCAGCGGCACCTTCTTCAGCTTCAGCTTCTGCAGCAGGAGGAGGAGACTCTTCTTCAGGCGGACTGCCACCTTCTTCACCTTGAGGCGTTTGTGCTTCTTCAGGACCTTTAGATCCTTTAGACCCTTTAGAGCCGCGCCTGTATAAAATGATAGTAAATAATATACAATAAAGACGGCGAATTGGAAAATATAATTTAAAACAATAACAAAACTCTGAAATACAGCCTGGGATGTTGTTAGTTATCTCAAACATATTTACCTAGAGCCTCCGCCAGCTTCCGCTTCTTCTTTGGATCCCTTAGAAGAACCTACGATACAAAATAAATATTATACGACTGTTACGTATAGCAGAAATAAAACTGTGAATGGTGTGAACATCGCCTAACGGAAACTCCGCATAATGTGAACAACGTAATAATAATTATTGTAGGCAAATAAAATTGGCATATCGTTGTTGTTGTAAATCTCAGATATTTTTGCTAATCCAGATTTTCTTTTATTGGGACTAACTGAAAAAGGACCGGCAACCTGCTCCTCTCTCTCTATTATCTTTTATTCGAACTTTAAATTACAACTAATCATTCGCCTGTAATTATTCATCAATAACAATCGTTTGTTTGTTTCGTCTTGTTCGATTGTGTAATGAATCATTTTGGGGCCCGTGACGAAGATGATTGAATCCCATGCAGAGATAAACATTTAGTGTAGTATATGTTCTCCCTCACCCCCTCATGCCCCACCTTTCAACCGGGGTCCACATTTGCACTCATACAGTTTTTATTAATGCCTTTTCAATAGATTTGAAAGTCTAATCTTGATGTTATTTCCGGTGAAATCTGAAGTAAATAAAACTGTAACTCTATGTCAAAAATCCCTTCTATATTAAGTACTTGTACCTACTCCAATTTTCAAATTTCTGTCTCAAGAAATAAAACAATGATTTATACTAACCACCTCGCTACCATCGCTACATACAATGTTTCCAATAGTCAGGAACTATCGTCAAAACATTCGTAATAGCAATGGAGACTTACGGACCACGATATGCTCTTTTTAATTACACAAATGTCAATTACAGCCAATGCAGCTATTACTGATTCTAAGCTGTTAGCTGTCTAAATGGCGCTTGATGTAAAATTCAATGGAGAGGAGTTTAAGTCGTATTGAAAACTAGAGACTAAAAAAATAGTACTCCGAGAATTTTGCTAAATAGCCATTTGGATATAACGCACCAGGAAACTGGTCCCATTCGGCGCTCGAAAGGGCCTTCCTAGACCTCGAGCAATAATAAGCCAAAAAGAAACTTTTTGAGTGTTTTATCCCCACTAGCTACTAATGCTGATAGGGGGGAGGGGGGCAATTTTTCCGGATTACACTCTCAAGATGATTTTGCACTTAAAATTACTTTGATGTTTGATGCTTTTGAAATTACGTACTCGCTCTCTATATATATCGCTTGTGTAGAACTTAATTCAGGATAAATACTCCTGTAGATTTCGATCATGCAACGCGTAAATGCCTCGTTTTTTTCTATTACTACCCTATTTTCAGTTGGAGAGATTGCATACTTAAACCCTATGTGCTTCCGAGCGTTAATGTGTTAAGGAATTTTATAAGTATTTTGTTATTTACTTACGTCTTACTTCTTTACTTCCTCTTGGGCCTGGGGATGGAAGTTCCTTGCTACCTCTTGGGGTTGATTTGCTACCACGTTTTTCCGCTACTTCAGCGCTTGACTTCCGTGGTTTTTCTTGACCTAATATACAAAGGTACCTTTAGTAGTTCTCATATGTTAAGTTTCATCTTTCGTGGAAGTCAAGAAAATAATGGAAAAAAAAATTGTAAATTATCTAGACTAAAGTACTCACCTTCGGGTTCGGTAACATGCATTTCAGCTTCCTAAAATAAAAATCATTAACGAAATTAATAATGAAGTTTGAATCACATGTAGTAATGACCGAATGCGATAGGTACCAACATCAAGTCCAAATAAGTAATAATTAGTTTTAATTTAAAATAATCATATCAAACTATATAATTGAAAACTAACCGATATTCTCGCAGATTTAAGATGGGTTCTAGCCGTCAAAATATCGCCCTGTACCATCATAGAAGGCCGGGTTTTGAAAGCTTCCTCTGGAATGTCCTCGTCTTTTGGAGATCTAATTTCACTTCCTTTATAAAACTTTTGATAATAATACAAGCGTTAAACACAAAAAGGAAAATGTTTATACGATTTTTCGTACTTGTCCGTCGGTTCCTTTAATGTGATGCTCCTCAGAAAGACCCTCCGGGCCCCATTGTTGTATGAAATGTCCCATCCTGGTGACCCGCTGCTGGGGTGTTGTAACCGTGTGACTTCCACCGCAGTAACGATTACAAATGTGATCACCCCTGGATTTTCAAAAAAATGGATGATTTATTCAGTTGATATGTATGCTATGAGAAGGTTTAGTCTTGTTAGCTTTCGATTTGAGTGCAGTATTTATATTGGACTGAACAGAACAGTATGGAATGAAACAAATAAAAGTAAAACAAAAGATATTGGTATGTATGGGTGGTGAAAGTAGGGTTAGAGCTAAAGAATGAATTATAGATTAAAAATTAGAAGTTACCGAGTTTCTATATGTAGGAAGTTAGATAACTCAGAAAGGGCAAAGCCACAGAATAGTGTATGGTAAAGTCATATTTAATAATAAGGAATTGCTTATGCATGTACAGTTAATTAGTTAATTTGGAAATTTGGAAAAAACGAAAAAAAAAGTTTATGTTTGGAATATGGCTTTAGATGGTAGATGCGATAGGGGGATGATGCCGTAGATGTATACGTTACCTTTTGGAAAAAGATGAAGAAAAAAAGATACTATGGAAGTAGTAGATAGGATGGAAGGACACATTCTCGTCATGAAAGCGAGTTGCAGATATATTGAAAGCGGAAAGGGGAGTAAGGAATGGTAGACTTAGTTTAGACAAATAGAGTTAAAAATATGGGATTGTCGCGAGCACTAGTGTGTTATTTGTAAATGTGTGTGTCGTACCTGCGTTTTGGGAAAGCAGTTAAACAGTTCAAACAAAAAATAAACTATCCAGATGTACCCCGAAGGTTCCAGAAAGTAAACAAAAGAGTATTTAAAGGAAGAGTCGATCGCCGAGAGAGGAAGAAATAAATTGACCGTTGCAGAAGTGAATCAAGAAATAAATTGACAGTGATAGCAGTGAAATAAATAGCGCAGTGAATAATGATATATCAACAGTAGTGTAAATAAATAGAATAATTCATAACCTAAGTTTAGTAATAATTTAATAGTGTTTTTAAGTTCTTTAATAATTAGTGTAAACAAGTAGTTTTTGTCGTTATCAGTCTTAGAAGTTAATTTTGTTAAAGCCACGAACATTACAGGATGTTCTACTATTTTTGGGGAAATGCGAATATTGCCTCAGGAGTTTTAAACTAGTCTTTGGACTAATGACTCTATGATGATGATAATAGTGGGTCGATTAGTAATTGGAATATTAAAGAAGCACTCAAAACGTTTGGCTTTTTAAATGAGAATAAACTGTATGATGATTTACTTACTTGTCTGGCTTTTTGGGAGAGCTCATCATGTTTTCGAATTGATTTAAATCTCGGCCTTGAGGCATACTGGGAATTAGAGATATTAATTATTAAATTAATAGGGATAATAATTGTATCTATCTAATAATTTTACAATTAAACAAACCAAAACTTAGGGCAAAATAATAAGACAATTTTAATATTTTATTTATTGGTTAGTATTAAGTCTACTTGCCATCTTTGTTGTTTTCGTAATGCGTCCAACTCGTAAGCCAGATAAGGAGCCATACTTTTCGTCGGTGGTAGACCAGGCTTCGGTGGGAACAGAGATGTATCCAATTCTTTTCGCATTATTACGTCTTTATCACATGATATGCAGTTCACATTTCTAAATATATAAATTAAAGTAAGGAGAGATATAAATGAAAAATTTAGTTGTCACAACTAATCTACAGATAAATTCCTAACAATTTATGACTTTTATAACTGAAGAGGCTGAGTATCTACTTCATCCAATCAAAAAGAAATCTTTGTCTTTATTGAAAATTGTTACTTAACATAATGTAAACAACAATAACATTCTTATTTAGATTTCCTCCACTTATTCTGTCTTCTTTTTGCAAGCGAATTCTAAACAAATAGCTTCGAAAAGATTTTCATACACTTTTGAAAATCTTTAACCCCTTCGCTTTTCCGCTGAATACGTTATTGAAAAAACTCAATCATACCCTACCAACTATCACGATTTTAGATAGAAATGTACACATAGAGCACATCTTTCTGAGTACGTTAGTATTAAATTTGATTAGGGCTTAACCTTCTGGTGGAGAAAATTACGTCAAAGAGATAGTAGTGGGTATCTAATGGGGGTGAGTAAGCAAATACTTTTTTGGTGTTTCATTTTCCCCAGCTATTAATGCTGGAAGGCAGGCAGTCCCTCCGGAATACGCTGGGGTGTAAGGCGGTAGACCTTCTTCAATCTCTTTTTAAGAATTGTGGGAATGGATGGCTGTGGTTGGGGCAAGAAACATGACACAGACGAAATGAAAATAGAAAAGAAGTGAAAGATTTTACCTGTGGAATAAGCCCCAGCATTTGCCTTAGTAATCTAAGAAAACCACAAGGTAACATGGACCGTAGCAGACGAACCGGAATCGAACGTGTATCTTAAGGATCCGAAACCATGACGGTTGGTAGTTCATGTCTTCATTCTAGGAGTGTTTTCATTAAATATCACCTCTCCTTGCCAGATTTTAATTTTTGGTTGACGGATTTTTAGCGAGATAGTTAAATTGAAACCGTTATAAACACTAAAAGTCTGCAATACTAATCAAAACCTGATATACCAACAAGCGACAGAAATCCAAAACAGTTCGGTCATACTAATGTATTCTTATTCAAAAGAAAAAGTAAACACAAGAACTATATCGAAATAACCACTATTAAATGTCAAAATGTTTCATATAGTACTAACAATTTAGTATAGTAATCAATCAGTAATATAACTTAGGACAAACGACCTATTCCAATTCAATCTTAATTACATTTTTTATTAGATAAGTTTCTTTTTGTTATATTTATTAAATTATTATTGCTGGTGTTAGTTTTTTATTTAGAAGCGTTCGAAATGTGGTGTTACCGGCGAATGATGAGGATACCCTGGATA